ATCTATCTATCTATCTATCTATCTATCTATCATCTATCTATCTATCTATCTATCTATCTATCATCTATCATCTTCTATCATCTATCTATCAATCATCTATTTATACTAACCCACCCCTGATATTTCCTAAATTACAAGAACAAGCTTCATTTTTTGTGTGTGTGTGTTTTAATCTTTTTGAGATAGGGTCTCCCTATAGCCCCAGCTGGCCTGGAACTCACTAGATAGACTGGACTGGCCTTGAACTCACAGAGATCCACCTGCTTCTGCCTCTCAAGTGCTGGGTTTAAAGGTGTGTGCCACTATGCCTGGCTGTTAGATTTTGTTTACTTGTTTGAAAAAGTTCTAAATAGTCTTTCTGTCCTCTAGCAATCTTTTTGAGATAGGGTCTCCCTATAGCCCCAGCTGGCCTGGAACTCACTAGATAGACTGGACTGGCCTTGAACTCACAGAGATCCACCTGCTTCTGCCTCTCAAGTGCTGGGTTTAAAGGTGTGTGCCACTATGCCTGGCTGTTAGATTTTGTTTACTTGTTTGAAAAAGTTCTAAATAGTCTTTCTGTCCTCTAGCTTTCCTCTGCAGCTAGAAAATGGTCAAGCTATGGAATGTACAGTAGCTCAGTATTTTAAGCAAAAGTATAGTCTGCAGCTGAAATATCCCCATCTTCCCTGTCTTCAAGTGGGACAAGAACAGAAGCATACATACTTGCCACTTGAGGTGAGATAAATGAAGTTTGCTTTTGCCAATTTCTTGAATTAAAGAAAAAAGAAGGGTTCTAAACTAGTGTTAGAATTTAGTCTTTCTAAAGTATTTGGGAGGTATCTATTAAATAATGATTTTTATTATTCTGGAAATGGAAGATATATAATCGTTTGATGAAGATAGAGAAGCCCATTGCTACACAAACTAGCCTCTCTTTGTCTCTTGGTAGGTCTGTAATATAGTGGCAGGACAGAGGTGTATAAAGAAGCTCACAGACAATCAGACATCCACAATGATCAAGGCCACAGCGAGATCTGCTCCTGATAGACAGGAAGAAATCAGTAGACTGGTCAGTAAACATGGTCTTCAAGATTAGCCAACTCTGAGATGAAAAAAAAACAAAAGAATAAAAAATTCCTGACAGGACATAGTTCCTCTTTGGTTTTTATATATGCAGGCTTTCCTGTTCTTTAGGTGAAGAGTAACAGCATGGTGGGTGGACCTGACCCATACCTTAAAGAATTTGGGATTGTTGTCCACAATGAGATGACAGAGCTCACAGGCAGGGTGCTCCCAGCTCCAATGCTGCAGTACGGAGGCCGGGTAAGCTGCTTCCATGCCGATCAAAATGAGACTTCTCATCACACTGTTGAATTTACCTGTAGTTGTGTTCATTATTACTTTCTGTCTTCTAGCTCATACCAAATAAAGTTTTATTTGTTCCCTCCTCAACATTAAAATGGCCTTAGATTTTAATAGCTTTTCTCTTTTCTTTTGTTTCTTTTCTAAAGAATAAAACAGTAGCCACACCCAACCAGGGTGTCTGGGACATGCGAGGAAAGCAGTTTTATGCTGGCATTGAAATTAAAGTTTGGGCAGTGGCTTGTTTTGCGCCTCAGAAACAATGTAGGGAAGATTTACTGAAGTGAGTATCCCATTTTCAGTTTAATACTATCCCTTCCAGATATGAAAGTCCAATCTTTATATGGATGTGCTGGGTACACTGGCACTAAACCCTCGATGCCCATAGTGACTCCACCGGGCTGTTTACAAAGGCGCTGTGTTATATTGTGAACTTGAAGATTACACTAAGAATCTGACTCGGCTTCTGTGTGTTTAGAGTAGAAACTTGGGAGCAACAAGGCTGAAGCAGTGCTATTGGGGCATCTTCAGTTCTTAGTGGAGGCTTCCTTCTTTCCTTTGGTGCTTTATCTTTTCAGGTGAAGATAAAAATGGTTTTTAGTATATAATTATAGCTTACTAGTGAAGTTGTTTTACTGCAGGTAATTAGCTAAGAGTATTAGATCACATCTTACAGATACAGCCTTGTGTGGACATTCATGAGAACAGCTAAAAAAAAAAAAAAAGTAGACCAGGCTGGCCTTGAACTCACAGAGATCCGCCTGCCTGTGCCTCCCAAGTGCTGGGAGTACAGGCGTGCACCTTTGAGACAGGGTCTCCCTGTAGCCCCAGCCGCCTGGAACTCACTATGTAGACCAGGCTGGCCTTGAACTCACAGAGATCCGCCTGCCTGTGCCTCCCAAGTGCTGGGAGTACAGGCGTGCACCTTTGAGACAGCTCTCCCTGTAGCCCCAGCTGTCCTGGAACTCACTATGTAGACCAGGCTGGCCTTGAACTCACAGAGATCCGCCTGCCTGTGCCTCCCAAGTGCTGGGAGTACAGGCGTGCACCTTTGAGACAGGGTCTCCCTGTAGCCCCAGCCGCCTGGAACTCACTATGTAGACCAGGCTGGCCTTGAACTCACAGAGATCTGTCTACCTCTACCTCCCGAGTGCTGGGATTAAAGGCATGTGCCACCACGCCCAGCCCAAAATGAATTAAATTTTTTAATGTTGATTTCTTTTGATATTATTATTGAACCAAATCCTTTGCTAGTTTGAGTCTAATTCTAAATCTGCTGATTTTGTGATAGCATGCTTATGTGCTCTCAGTTGAGCATAAGCTTGCCTAACTCTTTTGTTTACCAGCTTTGCCAAAATATAGGTTTGAATATTGGTTTGAATATTTTTGAAAAATTCTTTGCCAGGCGTGGTGACTCACGCCTTTAGTCCCAGCATTCAGGAGGCAGAGGCAGGTGGATCTCTGTGAGAGTGAGACCAGCCTGGTGCCAGGCCATAGCAAGTGCCAGGCCAGCTGGGGCTACAGGAGACCCTGTCTCAACAACAACAACAACAGTAAATACACACACACACACACACACACACACACACACACACACACACACACACACACAATGCTGTTCTAGCTCCTAAGGCCCAGAAGAGCCATAATTATTTAGAAATTCAAAATAGTGTTTGGGGATATAGCTCAGTGGCAGAGTACTTGCCTAGTTAATTTCCAGTACCACAAAAATAGTAATATAATAAAAGTTCAAACTGGCAATCTGATAGCTTACTAATGTAGAATGTTCTGTTGTAATTTCAGTGATGCAACTGCCAGTCTGTTTTTGGCAACTAGTTGAAGATTTTTTGTTTGTTTACATGTGAAAATGAAAGCACAGTGCCACTGGTTCTATCTTAACAGGAGTTTCACTGACCAGCTGCGTAAAATCTCCAAGGATGCAGGAATGCCCATCCAGGGTCAGCCATGTTTCTGCAAGTATGCACAAGGTGCAGACAGTGTGGAGCCCATGTTTAAACATCTGAAAATGACATATGTGGGCCTGCAGCTAATAGTGGTTATCTTGCCTGGAAAGACACCAGTATATGGTATGAATCCTTTTAATGTGGAATGAAGGATGATTTCGAGTACAAGGTTTGACAGTCAGGATAAGCTAGGTAATGCTACAGTCACAACCCTGCACTCTCAGTGGTCCAAAGCAGTAGAGGGTGCAGGTGGGGGTATAGCTTAGTGGTGGAGTGTTTTTCCTAGCGTGCTTAACAACAGTTTGATGTCCAACATTGGAAAGAGAAAAAAGAGCAATAAAATGAACTTTAAAAAAAAATTGTTTTAGACAGGGCCTCACTATTTAACCCTGGCTGGCCTTAAACTCAGATCTGTCTGCCTCTGCCCTCCATGTGCTGGATTAAAGATGTGCACCACCATGCCTGGCCAAAACTAACTTATTTTTCTTTTCTTTCTTTCTTTCTTTCTTTCTTTCTTTCTTTCTTTCTTTCTTTCTTTCTTTCTTTCTTTCTCTTTCTTACTTTCCTTTCCTCTTTCCTTTTCCCTTTCCTTTCTTTTCTTCTTAATTTTCTTTCCTTTTTCCTGTCCTTTCTTTTCCTACCTTTCTTTCTTGAGAAAAGATCTCATGTAAGTCAGGCAGACCTCGAACTCATTGTGTAGTGAATGACTGTGAATTTAGGCTCCTCCTGCTTCTCCTGCTGCCACCTTCCAAATGCTAGGATTACAGACATGCACCACCATACCTTATCTGTGTGGTACTAGGGATCAAACCCAGGGTTTTGTGCATGCTAGGCAAGCACTCTACCAACTGAGCTACATCCCCAGCCCAAGATTTATTTCTTGTTCCTCTTCTATGTCCACTGAGGGTAGACAATGGCCTCTGCTCCATGTAATCATGTCCTTCTCACTCCAAAAACTGACTTGGAAGAGCAGCCACTGTTTAGAATGTTACCACTCCCCCAAGTTTTCCTTTCTGCATCTGGAAATAACCAACTGTAAGGCCTTACACAACTAAGAGTGAGAGCGTGACTACAGATGGGGGCAGGAAATGCTGTAGAGGCCTCCTTCCATAGTCCAGGGAGCTGGAGGAAGTAGAATGTCTTGTGAAGAGCACTTAGGACTATCAAAATGGGGAGAGTGGAGACTAGTGAGGGAGCCTGCCACTTCTAAAAGAGAATGTGCTTAGTTTGTATCTACTGTTAAAAGAGTGATACAGAGTTCTTTTGGTTATCATCTGAGAGTGTAAGAGGGTACAGACAGCCCTTAAACTTTATCAAATGTCTTCAACCCTCTCTATATTTGCTGTTTTTGTTACCTTCTATTTAACTCTAATGTTTAGGGGGGAAAAGTAAAATTCAAAGGGTGGATGTGTGCTTAGAGAGGGAGGAGCCAGTAGATTAATTCCTGTGTGTGAGAGAGGAAACCTCTGGGGACTAAGGGAGTTTGGCAGACAACACCAAAGAATAAAGGAACTGGGCTGGCTTCTGGGTCTGAGGAAGGGAAGAAAGGAGAGGCTGTCCTGGAGGTTTAGGAGATGAAAGTACTGACATAGGAGACCTGCATCTAGCACTTTATACCATGTATAAATGTTCTGTAAATGTTAATGTTTGGGGCTTTTTCCTTTATTCTTAGTAATTAGGTAATTAAATATTTTTAAAGTAATTACTTGACTTGTTTTTATAGCGGAGGTGAAGCGTGTTGGAGATACCCTTCTAGGTATGGCCACACAGTGTGTCCAGGTAAAAAATGTTGTGAAGACCTCACCCCAAACCCTTTCCAACCTTTGCCTGAAGATAAATGCAAAGCTTGGAGGAATTAATAATGTGCTTGTACCTCACCAAAGGTAAGATCTTGAATTGTTTTTCCTACTTTTGTTTAAAATATAAATCACTTAATTTATGGTAAAGAATATACATTTCAGCCAGGTATGATGGTTACACATCTGTAATCTCAGCACTTGGGGAAGGTAAGGCATAAGGATCATGAGTTCCATGGCAGTCTGGACTACATAGCAAGACTCTGTCTTTAAAAAAAACAAGGAGCTAGGCGTGGTGGTGCATGCCTGTAGTCCCAGCACTTAGGAGGCAGGCGGATCTCTGTGAGTTCAAGGCCAGCCTGGTCTACATAGTGAGTTCCAGAACAGCTGGGACTACAGGGAGACCCTGTCTCAAAAAAACCAAAAAAAAAAAAAAAAAAGAAGAAGAGCAAAAACAAGGGCTGGGGACTAGAGACCCTGGTTAAGCACACTTACTGCTTGTCCAGAGGACCCAGCACCCATATGGCAGCTAACAACTGTCTGTAACTCCAGTTTCAGAGGACCCAATGCCCTGTTCTGGCTTCTGTGGGCATTGCATTTATGTGGTATACTTATATACATGCAGCAAAACATTCATACATATAAAATAAAAATAAACAAACTGGGCTGGAGAGATGGCTCAGTGGTTAAGAATACTGACTGCTCTTGCAGAGGACCTGGGTTCGATTCTCAGCACACACATGGCGGCTACGAACCGTCATTAACTCCAGTTCCAGGGGAATGGAAGCCCTCTTCTGACCTCCGTGGCATTGCATGATACAGGTGCACTCACTTACATGCAGGCAGTACACTCATACACATAAAATAAAAATTTTTTAATTAAAAAAAATTTTTAAAAACAAAAAACAAGTCAATCCCAGCACTTGGGAGGCAAAGGAAGGTGAATCTCTGTGAGTTCAAGGCCAGCCTGGTCTATATAAGCGAGTTCCAGGCCAGCTGGGGCTACCGGGAGACTCTGTCTCAAAAGGACCAATTAGTTAATTAATTAAAAACAGAAAACAAGACCCGGCATATAATTAAGTGGTAGAGTGCTTGCCTAGCAAGACAGCCTGATCTGCATAGCAAGTTCAAGGCCAGACAGGGCTACATAGTGAGACCCACACAGATGGGCTGGAGAGATGGCTCAGTAGGTAAGACCACACTGGCTGCTCTCACAGAAGACCCAGGTTTGAATCCCATCACCCACATGGCAGCTAACAACCACTTGTAACTCCAGTTCAAGGGAATCCAGAGCCCTCTTCTGACCTCTGTGGGCATTGCATGACATGAGTGCACTTACATATGTATAGGCAATACACTCATACACTAAAATAAAAATAAACAATTTAGCAAAATAAATAAATAAAAACAACAGAAACCCACATCAAAAATATACATTTCAGTTACTATTTCTTATATATGTACATACCCATATACTCACCATTTAGTTAAGATTTAGAACGTTCCCAGACCCCATCAGGCTTTCCCTTGTCCTTTCAAATAGACCTCCCTCAGGGCCAGGAATGTAGCTTACTGGTATAGTACTTGCCTATTATGTGAGACCCTGAGTTCAGGTTCCAGTACTACAAACAACCAGACAAACGGACAGATAACCTCCAAAGAAACCACTGTGTTGACCTCTGTCACCACAGATTGATGTTGCCTTTTTTTGATCTTCACATAAATAGAATCACTGATATGGTGTATACTACTTTGCATTATCTTCTTTTGCTCAACTTACATTGTTGCGTTTAATAGTTGATTCATTTTCATTGCTATGAGGGTTTTTTTTGTTTTGGTTTGGTTTTTTTTTTCGGTCTTTTTGAGACAGGGTTTCTCTGTAGCGCCAGCTGGACTAGAACTCACTATGTAGACCAGGCTGGCCTTGAACTCACAGAGCTCCGCCTGCCTCTGCCTCCCAAGTGCTGGGACTACAGGCATGCGCCACCATGCCCGGCTGCTATGAGTTATTTTATTATGTAAATAAATCACAATTTTTTGTAGTCTACCATTTATATTGCCATATATTCATTGTACAATCCTATAGAATTGGTGGATGTAAGCATTCTTTCTCTTGTATGAGACTCCAGATGTGGCTTTGCTGAGTAACAGAGAATGTAGTTACAGAGAACACATATACTTAGCCTTAATAGATAAAGTCAAGTATTTTTCCAAAGTTGCCTATACCAATTTACATTTTCACTGAGCATTCTAGCAGCGCCATATCTTTTTTTTTTTTTTTTTTTTTTTTTTTTTTTTGTCTTTTTGAGACAGGGTCTCTCTGTAGCTCTAGCTGGCCTGGAACTCACTATGTAGACCAGGCTGGCCTTGAACTCATAGAAAGCTGCCTGCCTCTGCCTCCCTAGTGCTGGGATTGAAGGCATGTGCCACCACGCCCGGCTATAAATACATTTTTTTATGTTGTGTTTTGTTTTTCCACTCTGATAAATACTGGCTTTGTTGTTGTTGCTGGTGGTGGTGTTTTGAGACAGCTTCTTATTATGTAGTCCTGGCTAGTGTGTAAGTGACTTCGTTGACTCAGTATAACCTTGAACTTGTGATCTTTCCATCTCTGCTTCCCAAATGCTGGGATTATAGTCATGCATCACCATGTCTATATTGAGGAACATTTTATTGTGGTTGTGATAGTACTGCTACGTATCAAATCCATGGCCTTATATGAGCTGCATCAGCCTTCTACCACTGAGTTTCATTTCCAGCTCTTAGAAATTCCTAATGAGAGTTTAATTATTATTTTTATGTCTTATTAAGAACCCTTCTCTCCCCATCCCACCTTATAAATTTTCATTTAAATTCACATTTATCAGATTGACTTTAGAGTAGCCCAACACAGACAAGATGATGATATCATTAACAGAGCATTGCCTGAGAGTGGAAAAATTGAGTGTTCCTGCCCATGCAAATTTTTAAGATTTCTAGGCCTCAGTTCCTTGTTTATGAAGATAGTAAGTGTGCCTTCTCCATTCCAATTATTGTTTTCATGTGAAATCGTGTATGTGAAAGTGGTTTGAAAAGTTAAACTTGGAACTGTAGTATGCAGCCTTGGTCACTGCTATACTTGAAGGAAGGTGAGACCGAGTACCTGGTGTACAGTTTTCCTCTGAAACTTGTAGGTAAATAAATCCTTCCTGAAACACTGGTGATGAGGCACACAGTCACAAGGAAAGCTAACCCAACCTCTTGAATCATTTCATTTTACTCCAAATATGTGAGATTGGGGGCTTAGAGCATGTTCTTTTTTGTCAACTTCTTGAGTTTGGATTCTGATCTTGTACATTATTTTTTTATGTCTCTTTTTTATTTATTGTTTTTGTTTTGTTATTGCTGTTGCTGTTGTTTTAGACAAAGGTTTTGCTACATAGCCCAGGCTGGTCTGGAACTCAAAATCTTCCTGTCGCCATCTTTTAAGAATAAAGGATTACAGATATGTGCCTGGCTCTATCTATCTATCTATCTATCTATCTATCTATCTATCTATCTATCTATCTATCTATCTATGTGTGGTTTATGTCTTTTCTTTTTTTCTTTTTATTTCTTTTTCTTTTATTCTTTTGAGGTAAGGTCTCCCTATAGCCACAGCTGGCCTGGAACTCACTAGTAGACCAGGCTAGCCTCAATCTCACAGAGATCTGCTTGCCTCTGCCTCCTAAACCCTAGAATTAAAGCCATGTGCCACTCTTTTGGTGTTGGGCCTCATGTAGTCCAGGCTGGCCTCAAACTCATTATGAAGCCAAGGATAATCTTGAACTCTTCATCCTCCCCCTTCCACCTATGGGTTGAGTGCTGAGATTACAGGCACCACCACACCCAGCTTTTTTTTACTAACTTTTGCCAGAAAAGCATTCATATTTTTTCCATTCATTCCTTGGATAGAGAAATCAGTGGCAAAAATGATTTCATATTTTCAGCAAATATTTATTGAGTGCCAAGTATAAGATAAGAAATATTCTAGGCACTAGGGATGTAGCAATGACCAACACAAATAAAAACAAAGTTCCTACCCTTGGAGAAATTATAGTCATGTGCATATGGGTGTATGTCTAGACAAAAAATAAAAAGTAGAATATATGGTATTTAGTGATGTTGGTATATATATATATATATGCACACCATCTGGGTATACACATACATATGTAATAAGTGAAAACACTGTGGAGAAAAATAAAACCAAAAGAATAAACTTGATTCTCTTCTCTCTAAATTTCATATTTTAATGAGAACTGAGGTTTGGAAGGCTAGTTTTCTTTCTTAATGTCCATAAGTCCTCTCTTCTAAGACTATACCTATGGTAATCTCTGGTGATAAATTTTTCTAGACCCAAAGATTTATACCTGTATGTCTTGAGTGGCACTGTCTCCTTAAATCTGAACAGGCCCTCGGTGTTCCAGCAGCCTGTCATCTTTCTGGGAGCAGATGTCACTCATCCCCCTGCAGGAGATGGGAAGAAGCCCTCCATTGCAGCTGTGGTAGGCAGCATGGATGGCCACCCCAGCCGGTACTGTGCCACAGTTCGGGTCCAGACATCCCGACAGGAGATTTCCCAGGAGCTCCTCTACAGTCAGGAGGTCATTCAGGACCTGACAAACATGGTTCGAGAGCTGCTGATTCAGTTCTACAAGTCCACACGCTTCAAACCGACTCGCATCATCTATTACCGTGGAGGGGTATCCGAGGGACAGATGAAACAGGTATTCACATCAGCCCAGTGTTGTCCTTTGGGATTTCTAGGAACCTAACAGAGCTTCCTCCCATCTGCTGCTTGGTAAATAAGATCTGAGGAATTCTAGGCAAGTTCTCAATGAAACAAAATTCCACTTCTGTCTCCTAGGTAGCTTGGCCAGAGCTAATAGCAATTCGAAAGGCTTGTATAAGCTTGGAAGAAGACTACCGGCCAGGAATAACATATATTGTGGTACAAAAGAGACATCATACACGACTCTTCTGTGCAGATAAAACAGAAAGGGTAAGAAGACATGGTATAAGCTTCCTTATCTGACTGTGTGGAAAGTAAATGTGGTTTTGAATAGATGTATACAGTTTCCCCCTAAAATCTGATGTATCTAATTTTGATTTAATAAATATATTAACTACATTTGAACTTAGATGACCAATTTTAAATAACATATTTCAAGAATGAATATTCTCTTATGTGACAGAAATGCTGGTTTTTAGAGTTTTGGGAGGGGAGGGTTGGGGAGTTGTATATTGCCTTTCTCATTGCCATGACAAAATATTTGACAAAAGCAACTTAAGGAAGGAAATATTTATTTTGACTCACAGTTCCATGGTACAGTCCATGATGACAGGGAAGTCATGGCAGTAGGAATTTGAGGCAGCTGGTAACATTACATTTATAGTCAAGACACAGAAAGTGCTCAGCTCACTTTCTCTTTTCTATTCTGTCTGGAACCCCATCCCGTGGAACAGTGCCATCTATGGTTAGAGTGACTCTTCCCACGTCAATAAACCTAATCTAGAAAGTCCCTCACATTCATACTCAGAGATTTTTGTCTCCTAGGTGATTTTAGGTCCTGTCAGGTTGACAATCAATACTAACTGTCATAGGTTGGTTGTTTGGGTTTTGAGGTAGTGCTGCTCAGAAACTTGCCAGGTACATTATTACAGGCAACCTCAAAGTAGAAGGCTCTCTCTCTCTCTCTCTCTCTCTCTCTCTCTCTCTCTCTCTCCACACACATGCACGACACGTGTGTGTGTGTTGCTGGGAATCAAACCCAGGACCTCACACATGCCTTTTGCTACTTTTTGTTGCCAGTGCTTAAACTACATAGGTTCTTGGGCATGAAGAGTCTCCTCAGTGATATTTTATATCAGTTCAGGGAATTATTGGAGTATATATATTGGTTGATTATAATGTCACACTTATTAACCACTTCAAGGCAAGATACTTCACCTCTCTAAGCCATAATAAAACTTACCATGATTTGACGTAGGATCTTTCTTTCTTTCTTTTTTTTTTTTTTTTTTTTTTGGTGTTTTTGAGACAGGGTCTCCCTGTAGCCCCAGAACTTGCTATATAGACCAGGCTGGCCTTGAACTCACAGAGCTCCACCTACATCTGCCTCCCAGGTGCTGGGATTAAAGGTGTGCACCACCAAACCTGGCAGATTTTTCTTTTCTAAAATTTATTTATTTGTGTCTGTGTCTGTGTATGTGCACCTGAATGTGTGTGCAGGTTTGTATACCTATGCACATGCAGAGGCCAGAGAAGGCATCAGGTGGCCTCTTTCACTCTCTGCCTATTCCTTTGAGGCAGGTCTCTAAACCTGAGGCTTCCATCTTGTTGGCAAGGCTAGAAGACAGCAAGCTGTGGTGGTCTTCCTGTCTCTGTTCCCCTTAAAGCGGGGGTTACAAACATTTTCAAGGACACTCGGCTTGTTACTTGAGTGCTGGGATCCAAATTCTGTTCCTTATGGTTATGGAGCAGGTGCTCTTACCTGAGTTATCGCTCCAGCCCCAGATTTTGGATTTTTCTAGTTTTTAAAATATTTTATTTATTATTTTTATTTTATGTGTATGTGCATATTGCCTGCATGTGTGTAAGTTATTTTATGTGTATGAGTGTATTGCCTGCATGTGTGTAAGTGCACTCGTGTTGTGTAATGCCCATGGAGGTCAGAAAAAGGTGTCAGATCCTAGAGTTAAGGATGGTTGGTAGCTGCCACGTGGGTGCCGGGAATTGAACCTGGGTCCTCTGCAAGATCAGCCAGTGCTCTTAACCACTGAGCCATCTCTCTAGCCCTGGATTTTTCTATTTTATGTTGATTAAGCAATATATGTTGTGAAAGTTGTCTGCATTCTATAGTAGCCATGCTTTGAACTTTGAATTTGATTTTGTCCAGGGCTAGAGATGAACAGTGCAGTAGTCTCTTACAATGCAGCCACTGTCACTTAAGTAAACAGTTGATACTCTAAAGAGTGCCTTATTGCAAAACTATGATATTCAGAAGATTAGGATTAAGCAAATTTTTTATTTATGAAAACTTTAATTTATGAGTTTATTGAACATAATCCTTTTTTTTTTTTTTTGGTCTTTTTGAGACAGGATCTCCCTGTAGCCCCAGCTGTCCTGGAACTCACTATGTAGACCAGGCTGGCTTTGAACTCACAGAGATCCGCCTGCCTCTGCCTCCCAAGTGCTTGGATTAAAGGCATGTGCCACCACGCCTGGCCCCTTTGCTTTTTTAATTTATTATTTTTATTTTATGTGTATGCATGTATTGCTTGCATGTAGGTAAGTACACCCATGTCGTGCAATGCCCACGGAGGTCAGAAGAGGCTGTCGGATCCCCTGGGACTGGAGTTACAGACAGTTGTTAGCTGCCATGTGGGTGCTGGGATTCAAACCCAGGTCTTCTGCAAAGAACAACCAGTGTTCTTAACCGCTGAGCCATCTCTCCAGCCCCCTGAACATAATCCCTTTGTAAACTGAAGAATATCTGTATTCTCACCTGTAAGATCTGATTATGTTCCAGGACAGCTGGGGCTACAGGGAGACCCTATCTCAAAAAGACCCCCCCCCAAAAAATTTGATTATGAACAATATCTAGGCATGGTGGTATATTTTGGAGGGTAAAGCAGGAAGATCATGAGTTCCAAGTTAGAATGGTTATCTAGTGAGATCCTGTCTCAAAAGAAAGAACAAATGCTGGAGATGTAGCTGAGGGGGTAGACTATCAGCCTAGCATAAACAAAGCCCTGGGTTCAGTTCCTAGCAACACATCCTCAGTAACATAGACTGTTCATGACCAGGCTGGGCTACCTGAGACCCTGTCTCAAAAACAAAAACAAAACAGCAGAAAAGAATATTATCTAGTTCATGAGATGTAGTGAAGATTAAATTAATGAATTAATAAATGTTCATTTAGGTTATAACTCTGAGCACTTATTAAAAGATGTTTTCCATTATCTATTTACTTTTCAAATATTTATTTTATTATCATTTTTGTTTGTTTGTTTGAGACAGAGTCTCCCTGTAGCCCCAGCTGACCTGGAACTCCCTATGTAGACCAGACTGGCCTTGATCTGAGATTCACCTGCCTCTGCTTCCCCAGTGCTGGGTTTAAAGGCATGCACCACCACACCCAGCTATTTTATTATTTTAAATTATGTGTATGTGTGTAGGTATATGCATGTGAATGCTGAGGCCTGAGGATGCCAGAAGCATCAGATCCTCCTGGACCTGGACTTACAGGAGGTTGTGAACCACTCAAGGTGGGAGCTAGAAATTGAAACTGGGTCTTCTGCAAGAGCAACATGTATACTTAACCACTGAGCCAACTCTCTAGCCCCCATTATCTATTTATGATTTGATATGTATGTGTAAAAACCACTCAAGGTGGGAGCTAGAAAGTGAAACCAGGTCTTCTGCAAGAGCAACATGTATACTTAACCACTGAGCCAACTCTCTAGCCCCCATTATCTATTTATGATTTGATATGTATGTGTAAAAACCACTCAAGGTGGGAGCTAGAAAGTGAAACCAGGTCTTCTGCAAGAGCAACATGTATACTTAACCACTGAGCCAACTCTCTAGCCCCCATTATCTATTTATGATTTGATATTTATGTGTAAAATGTATAAGTTGCAAGTACATAGTACTGGCTAACTTTGTTTCTTGGATTTTTTTCGTGATATGATTTCATCTTATCCAGGCCCAGGAAGGACCAGATCTTTTCTGTTGCTTAATCATGTAATCTTCTTTGCTACTCCCATTATTTTCTAGTACACTCGTAGTTTTTTGTCTCTTTTCCAAGAATGAGATGTTTATTTTTGGTTTCTGAATCATGAGAGAACTGAAATTCTTTTCCCCAGTGGTTCCCAATCTACCAATCAGTCTATATGAATTTTTTGTCTTCTAAATTGTTCTGATTCAGTAGAAATTTATAGATTTTGCTATTATAGATTCTCTGAATGCTTGCCTGAAATCTGAGCAGAAACTATCCTGCCACCCATCTTTCATTGCAAGGTTTCCTCTCTTCTCTGTAAACTTGCTATCCTTGTAGTTTTAAGACCTGGATTATCCGGCTGGAGAGATGGCTCAGTGGTTAAGAACACTGGTTGTTCTTGCAGAAGATTCGGGTTTGAATCCCAGCACCCACTTGGCAACTAACAACTGTCCATAACCCAGGGGATCTGACAGCCTCTTCTGACCTCCACAGGCACTGTACAACATGGGTGCACTTACCTACATGCAGTCAATACATGCATACACATAAAATAAAAATAATAAATAAAATAAAATAAAATAAAAAAAGACCTGGATTATCTGCCCTCCTCCCCTCAGTGCTGGGAATAGAGTCCAGGGCCTTTCATGTGCCAAGAAGCACTTTACCATTGAACTATATCTCCAGAGCCTGAGTTACCTTTCTTTTTAAAAAAAAAATAAATTTGTTTCTTTTGTCTATGAATGTACTGTCTGCATGTATGTAAGTGCACCCATGTTGTGCAATGTCTATGAAGGCTAGAAGAGTGTTGTATCCCCTGAAGCTGGAGTTAAGGACAATTGTTAGCTGCATGTGGGTACTGGGAATTGAACCTGGGTTCTCTGCAAGAACAGCCAGTGCTCTTAACCATTGAGCCATCTCTCCAGCTCCCTGGAGTATCCTATAGTTCTGGTTTTACCATCCAACGTCACCAACCTTTCAAGATTGACAGTTACAGTTCTTTGGTTTACTTTATGCCCTGACCAACATTTCTGATTCTCTGTCCTTCTCCAGCTCCAAAATATATCCATTTACTCATCTGCTTTGCTTCTCCAGACTTGTAGGAGTTGCTGAGGGAACAAATCACTTATTTAGTTATGAACCATGTTATAAATACAAGATAGCAAATTTTAAACCTTAAATGCTGTAACTTTTTAAAAATATTATTTTTTTTTTATGTGTATGAGTGTATTGCCTGCATGTATGTGAGTGCACCCATGTCGTGCAATGCCGCGGAGGT